ATCCCATATTTACCCCCGTTTTTCCCCATTTTCTCCGTTTTTCCCATATTTCTCCCAATCCCATATTTCCCAATCCCATATTTCCCATATTTCCCATATTTCCCCTATTTCTCTCCTCACCGTGCTCTCCCCAGGCGCCGGGGCAGGCTCAGTCTCTGCACTCTCAGCCGTTCCCATATTTCCCAATCCCATATTTCCCATATTTCCCAATCCCATATTTCCCATATTTCCCAATCCCATATTTCCCATATTTCCCATATTTCTCTCCTCACCGTGCTCTCCCCAGGCGCCGGGGCAGCCTCAGTCTCTGCTCTCTCAGCCGTTCCCATATTTCCCACATTTCCCAATCCCATATTTCCTCACCGTGCTCTGCCCAGGCACCGGGGCAGGCTCAGTCTCTGCACTCTCAGCCGTTCCCAATCCCATATTTCCCAATCCCATATTTCCCATATTTCCCAATCCCATATTTCCCAATCCCATATTTCCTCACCTCACTCTCCCCAGGCGCCGGGGCAGGCTCAGTCTCTGCTCTCTCAGCCGTTCCCATATTTCCCATATTTCCCATATTTCCCAATCCCATATTTCCCATATTTCCCATATTTCCCAATCCCATATTTCCCATATTTCCCATATTTCCCAATCCCATATTTCCTCACCTCACTCTCCCCAGGCGCCGGGGCAGCCTCAGTCTCTCCACTCTCAGCCGTTCCCATATTTCCCATATTTCCCATATTTCCCAATCCCATATTTCCTCACCTCACTCTCCCCAGGCGCCGGGGCAGGCTCAGTCTCTGCTCTCTCAGCCGTTTCCATATTTCCCATATTTCCCATATTTCCCATATTTCCCATATTTCTATCCCATATTTCCTCACCTCACTCTCCCCAGACGCCGGGGCAGGCTCAGTCTCTGCTCTCTCAGCCGTTCCCATATTTCCCAATCCCATATTTCCCAATCCCATATTTCCCATATTTATTTCCCATATTTCCCATATTTCCCCTATTTCTCTCCTCACCGTGCTCTCCCCAGGCGCCAGGGCAGGCTCAGTCTCTGCTCTCTCAGCCGTTCCCATATTTCCCATATTTCCCAATCCCATATTTCCCATATTTCCCAATCCCATATTTCTCTCCTCACCTCACTCTCCCCAGGCGCCGGGGCAGGCTCAGTCTCTGCTCTCTCAGCTGTTCCCATATTTCCCAATCCCATATTTCCTCACCTCACTCTCCCCAGGCGCCGGGGCAGGCTCAGTCTCTCCTCTCTCAGCCGTTCCCATATTTCCCATATTTATTTCCCCTATTTCTCTCCTCACCTCACTCTCCCCAGGCGCCGGGGCAGCCTCAGTCTCTCCTCTC